GCGCCGACGATGTCGTGGCCGCGGCGCCGCGACCAGATATCTTAACGTTGGCGCCCCCTGGGGGGGATTCACCCGCCCATCCTCCACCTTCGCCGTCGCGTTCTTGAGCTCCTCCCCGCCGATGTTCATGATCTGATCGTGCAACTTCCGCACCTCGGCGGGTCGATGTACCCGGGCTGGCCCAGACGGGTCTCATTATGGTCTGGGAGGGCGGTTTCCGCGGAAAGGCAAACGAGGCCAGTATCTCCTCTTACGGTGCAAGACGAAGCCTCCGCGTTACTGGGTCTTCATGTCCAACCCACCCGCGCACCTCCTTATGTACTGACTTCAGCTCTGGAGGGAGAGGGCAAGTTCCCTGCTGCGCGGCCTAACTTTCGTCTCGTCAGTTATAACGAGATCTGCAGGACGAGAACGATGTCGTGATGCGATCGGCTCCACATACGTTCCAGCAGTTTCGGGCTGTTATCTAGCGGTCCTCGTCTCTGGAGCTCATTCGGAGCGACAGGCAAGCATGGAAACCTTGGAACATGTGTCACTGCAATACCTTCTTGCTCCTCTGATCCTGTGCAATGACTGAGGGCGGACGTTAGGGGGGGGGGACTGGCCCAGGGGGTATATGTTCCTATATGTTCTGGGTTTCTGTCTTCCCCCCCACTTCCCATATTTTCCCATATTTTCTGAGGAATCGACGATTAATTGTGTCTGTGTGTTTGTTTCCTCTCCTGAGATACACCGCCGATGCATCGGGGATCGGCACCCGGACAGCGAAAGCGCATGGCCCTGAGTAGGGTGGGCCATCGGGCCCCGATCGGCAACCCATCGGCGATTGTGGGTCGATGCATCCCCCCTCGGCCTATCCTCAGGTCGGGCATGTCCCCCTACAGGCGGATTCTGAACGACAAATACATGCAGAAGCCATCTATACACCACCACCGTGCCAGGCCAGGGCCATCTTGGCCCTGGCATGGTGTATACGCCATCCTGGCCGAGGCCAGGAGGGTCTATACACCATCCTGGAACCCAGGATGGCCCTGGCCTGGCACGGTGGTGGTGTATAGATACCTTCGTCGGAAAATAACAAATGATACAACAATGCTCTAAACATGATCAAAAATAGTTGAACAATCGTCCCGATACTATTTTTTATATTTGCATATTTCTCCTGTAGAGTAGAGGGACATGCCCGACTTAAGCCTATCCTCCGTAACGTTGCCCCTGAATGACCCGACCAAACGAAGCCACCGGGGCAGACCGAGGCACCCGCCTCGTCCTCGACAGCCTGGTGCTCCGCCTGGACCTTGTTCAGCTCGCTGGACCTGCTGTTGATGAGCTTATCCAGGTCCTTTCGGGGCGGGCGAGAGGACAGGAGAGTTCATAATTGAAGGGGCCCTGGGACACACGAATAGATACATAGACAAAAATAAAGGATTCACCATATTTCCCCATATTTTCTGGGTTTTTGTCTTCCCCCCCCCACTTCCCATATTTTCCATTTTTTTCTGGGGAATCGACGATTAATTGTGTCTGTGTGTTTATTTCCCTCCTGACCATAATCGCATCGATAAGTCGGATCGGCGATCGAAATGTGTAGGCTCGGCGGAAATTGGCAGCCAAGTCGGGAGAAGTCGAAACGTCGGAAATCGGCATGCTGGTAAGGCGTCCATTGAGACATCGGAATCCAAATTGGAATCCAAGGTCGAATCCAATCGGAATCGGAATCGATCGAACTCGAATCGAACCAAGTCGGAGGCATCAAAATGAGCCCTGCGGGGGTAATTAGCGAATCAGCCCCCGAGGCTGGCTTCTCCGGCGCCTCCCGGCCGCGGACGCGCCAATGTCCCAGAAAGCGGAGGTCGCCGGGTTCGAAACCAACTGCACGCAGCAGATTTCGCCCACCCACCCCACCACCCCACCCTTCCTAACTGGGTGAGCCGTCATGGGGCCCTATATGGATCTCCGCAGTCAAATCATAAGCATAATGTCGGCTGCATTTCGTTCAAAATTCGACCACCCCTCTTCATTCTTTCGTCCAGATTTCGTCCAAATGTCGACCGGATCCAATGAGATCCCAGAAGCCGGAAGGAATTTTGGGACCCTCTGAGGCTCCCATGAAGGATCACCCAATCCCAATGCCCCTCTACTGATCCTCGTCGCCTGGTTTTGGGACTCACAACCTCGGGTCTCAGGCAGCCGTTCAGGACGATTCGGGCACCGCGGGCACGCTCCCGGCGAGGCGCAGCTGGCGAGCATCCCGAGGCTGGAAACCCGCCAGACACCGACGAGAACGTGCGAACACCCAATCCCACTCCAAAACCCAGACCCTTTCCCAGTGCACCCCCCATTCACATCCGACCCGATCCTTCAGCTTCGCCTTGTCCCCGGACGACAGCGACGGGACCTTGAGCTCCGCGAGGCGCTTACCGTAGGCGTCCACCTGCTTCTGGAGGCTGGCCGCCTCCATGCTGCATTTCTTCTCCTGGAGCTCGGCCTCCGCGATCTCCTCCGGCTGTTCGGTGTCACTCGGTCCGTGGAATTGTCGTCATGGGACGAGAAGCAAGCTCATGAAACGATTGGCTCGAGGTACACTATTTGGAACCCCGCGCGGATGTCTTGGATCTGCGCTGGGTCCCCCTGGCGGCGCCTCCAGCGCCGCTCCTGGCGCGCTCCGCGCGCCAGAAGGCGTCACTCCGCTGGACCCCCCAGCAACCCTCGAAAGTGGCTACAGTTTCGCTGTTCGCCGCCCCCATAGGGCTTTTTTTTCAAAACGAGAACCCATCGCAGGAGGGCGAGGGAAGAATAGCATGCGGCGCGCATCTCCTGATCTGAACCTCGCCTTTTCGGGCCTTGAACCCTCACAGCGATTTTCAAATAGTAAGCTTGTCGCCACATCACGATCGCACACCTGCTGATCTCGACGTCGCCGTTTGAAGTCTTCAACCTTCACGCTACGATCGAGAAACATGTTCTTTTCTGCAGTAGCGATGGACATCTGTGCCGCTCAATACCCTCTTCAGAAAAAAAAACACGATGCGATGAACACTTGCTGATCTAACATCGCTGTCTGCAACCTTCACCCGTCGCGACCCGATGCTGACACTTTCTTTTGTCTGCGCGCCCCCTGTAATCTTTTCACAATGGAAATCTGTGCCGCTCACGATCCCCTGGCCTTACAACCAGATTCCACCCCGAACCCTCCGGCGCAAAGGGGAGGACGGGGGAGGGGGTGTCCGAAATCCTCCCTCCAACTCTCTAGCGCAAATTGAGGGAAAGGGGGTTGTGCGAGCACACAATGTTCAATGAGAGAGGCATCCACTGGCGCGCTGGTTTGCAGCAGCGTCCAGGGCCCATTGTTTTTTTTCACAACCGCCCATGCGCTTCGGTTTTTCCATCCGCAAGCTCGTGGGGCGAAATTGTCTCATTCGCGTGCAACTCACGGGTAAATTAGTTTTAATTGGACTGGAGCGGTGGCCATCCCGCTTGACCCGGATCACACAGGCATGCCTTGACGCCAGACACCACAAGCTAAATGCGCGAAGCCGTTTTCGCCAGTGGCTGCTGCGCCCGCTTGGCCTAGCGCGCCCCTGCTCGAAATGGTCAGATACGGTATCTTGCCATCAACGACGAGATATGCCCCCTCCCCGTTAGGCAGAAACACGTACCGTGATTTTCGGTGCCCCCACACGAAGCTGCATCCGAAATCAATTACCTTTTCGCCGACCGGCAGAACACGGGGCGTCTCGGGCACCACGGTGGATTCGCATGTTTCTCATATGAACTCGTGCCAGGCGGCGATCGCGCCCCCGAGGGCCCTACTGCGTCCCTGGCTGTGTTCAAAATCATCGGAATCGACAGAACAACTGCGCGACTCGAGCCCCCCGTCTTCGCAGCGAACTTTCGTGCAATGAAGCCGCAGCCGAGACCGGCGCCGACGATCAACACCATCGGCCCTAGTCTCGCCAGGCATCGTTGCCCAGGAGTTGCAGCTCCATTTCCCCAGTCCGCCCACAGGCCCCGCGCCTCCTGCTCCAACCCTAACGCCTTCAACAAGGCTGACATTGAAGCGACGTGATTCTCACGCTCCTGCCGCCCACAACCTGAAGACATGAGGGCTCATCGACGTTCGTCGGTGGTCCTCAGTACCTTTCGGCCATGCATGCGGCGGCCGCCATGCCCGCGCGACCTGGGGCCGCGGCCCAAGTCAGAAGTCGGTCCGAAACGAACCGACTCACCTCTACCGCCGCCCTTCTTGCCGCGGCCTTCGCCCCCGCCTGCATCAAGTTATCGCCTGGCGCGCGGCTTTTTGTTCCACTTTCTGCGGCTCCTCGGGCCGCCCGCAAGGTGGAATCTCTCCCGTGGCAATGCGGCCTAGTTCCCACGTCTCCGGTGGCTCCCCCTCTGCGTCGATGAGCCCACGGCGCCTCTCACCCCGCATTTGCCGTTGCAGCCGCCGCGGCGGTGCGCGCGGCGGGGCGGCTTCTGCTCGCCCGCAGTAGACTTGTAAGTCCTGGGCGGCGCTCGGGGGCCCGGAGGTCTGAGAAGTCGCTCTAGAGGAATTCGTTGGCCCCCTGCCCCCTGGGAGCCAGGTGTGGCATCTCTGCCGCGAGAATCCCTTTTTCTTGACTCTCTGATCCTTGCGCCCACGTCGTCTTTCTTACCCTTCGCACGTGCTGGGCCATGGTTGTCTCACCCCCCATCCTGGCTGGCGCTGCCTGACCACGATGGAACAGACATTGCATTCCATCAGCGCACTTGTCCGCGGCAAAGATCCCACGAGGGATTCTCCTCCTGGAACTTTCGTTCGTCGCGCGCAGGCGCACGTGCTCGCTTCGCGCGAGGGCAGCAGGGCCCGGCCCCCGTTTTCGATCGGCCACTCTTTTCGTTGAGCTCCATTCGATGTCAAGTCATGGGCTTGTTCGACCTGGAGACCTACCCACTCGCGAGACGAGCCGCCGCTCGTCATCTTCCAAAACGGCGTCAGAAGGATGCAAACTTGACTTGGGGGCGTCGGACTCGTTCAGCTGTCCGAAATAATGCTGGCGTCTCGATGGCCCCATGCGAACGTTAAGTTGGCCCGCGCTGCCCGGCGCCATCCCGCGCCCACGCGCGATGCCGAACAGCTCTTCGCCTGCCCAGCGCCCGGGCCCCCTGGCGCGCATTGGGCGCCAGGGCATGCATTGAAATCCCACCAGCCCTTTGGGCGTGAGTGGTTTAGAGAGCCCGCTCTGTTCTCAACCCTCCTTCCCCTTCGGGGAGGGGTTTACCCCTCCACAATTACACAATATGAATACTACTCTCCCTCTTCCCATGATGGCGTCCGGAAGATATTCGGCACCCCCCCGCGTACTGTTTTTTTACACACAGGATTCCCCGGAGTTGGGTTTTCGCCTGCGTTTTTTTTCAAAATGCTGCTCTCGCTGAGGCGCTGGCCTCATTTCTGCTCCCGAATCGTTCCGAATCGTGCTCCCGCTGCAGCGTGGGCCTCATTTTCGGATCGGTGTTTGGCCTCCGTCGTTCAGGATGGCGTTCTCGCCCCAGCGCGGGCCTCTTTCTCGCGCGCCCATCCGCCCGCCACCACCGCGCCGCCGCACCACCACCACCACCACCACCAGCACCAGCACCAGCACCAGCACCAGCACCAGCACCAGCACCAGCACCAGCACCAGCACCAGCACCAGCACCAGCACCAGCACCAGCACCAGCACCAGCACCAGCACCAGCACCAGCACCAGCACCAGCACCAGCACCAGCACCAGCACCAGCACCAGCACCAGCACCAGCACCAGCACCAGCACCAGCACCAGCACCAGCACCAGCACCAGCACCAGCACCAGCACCAGCACCAGCACCAGCACCAGCACCAGCACCAGCACCAGCACCAGCACCAGCGCAGCACCAGCACCAGCACCCGCACCCGCACCAGCACCAGCACCACCCGCACCCGCACCAGCAGCAGCAGCAGCAGCAGCACCACCACCACCACCACCACCACCACCACAACCACGCACACACGCACGCACGCACGCACGCACGCACGCGCACCACCATCCACTACGCACGCGCGCGCGGAGCCACAGGTCCGCTACGACACGCGTCCGCGGATAGAGAAAATCAGCGCCATGGTAAGGGATGGGAGGGAGGGGTAGGACGTCAGATATGACGCGAGCGCACCTAGCTTGCCCTACCCCCTCCCCCTGGGCCTGGAGAGGTCCCACCGCGGGTGGTCAGGGGAGTCCTTTTCGACTCCTGGGAGGGCTAAAAAACCACACCCCTCACGAGGATTCTGGCCCCGACGGGGGGAGGAAGAAAAAACCATCTCCTCTCCTTTGAAGCTAAAATCATTGATTTTACTACGGTGTTGGCCCCATTTTGGCCTTCTGAGGGGGCAGCGCTCATTAAAGCTCCCCTCTTCCTTCAAGGCAAAATCATTGATTTTACGAAGGTTTTGGCCTCAGTTTGCCCTTCTGAGGGGGCAGCGCTCATTAAAGCTCCCCTCTTCATTGATCGACTTCCTCCAAGATGGTCCCAAGAAGCGCCCAGGAGGCACACTGAGGCCCCAAGATGGCCCCAAGACGCCCCCAGGAGGCCCCAAGAGGCATCCAAGAGGCCCCCAAGATGCCCCCAAGAGGCCCCCAAGAGGCCCCAAGAGGCTCCCCCGAGGCACCCAAGACGCTCCTGGAAGCCCCTGGGGCCGCCAAGAGGCCCCCAAGACGCCCCAAACGGCCTCCAAGAGGCTCCCAAGAGGCCCGAAGAGGCTCCCCCAAGGCACCCAAGACGCTCCTAGAAGCCCCTGGGGCCGCCAAGAGGCCCCCAAGACGCCCCAAAAGGGGACGAGGTGCCCGAACGCCTCACGCCACGAGGAGCCCGAACGACTCACACCAGGACGAGGGGCCCGAACGACTCACACCACGAAGAGCCCGAACGACTCACACCAGAAGGAGGGGCCCGAACGACTCACACCAGGACGAGGCGCCCGAACGACTCACACCTCGAGGAGCCCGAACGACTCACACCACGACGAGGGCCCCGAACGACTCACACCACGAGGAGCCCGAACGAGTCACACCAGGAGGAGGAGCCCGAACGACTCACACCAGGACGAGGGGCCCGAACAACTCACACCACGAGAAGCCCGAACGACTCACACGAGGACGAAGAGCCCGAACGACTCACACCACGAAGAGCCCGAACGACTCACACCAGGAAGAAGGGCCCGAACGACTCACACCAGGACGAGAAGCCCGAACGACTCAAACCACGAGGAGCGCTTTCTCTCCCTCCTCCTCCGCCTCGTCCTTCTCCCGCTCCCACCACAAGGAGGATGTACAAGGAGGCGGGAGGAAGGAGGAACAGGGGAGATATGCGGGGGCAGGCGGAAACACGCCTGAAAAACACGACTGTCGGCATGCTTCGCAAGAGTTGCTGTTTTGAGATGGGCTGGTGGGGATACGCGAAGCGTAAAAGAATTCTAGATTTCGCCGTGGTCAGCACGGGCAGCCGCGC